TATTTCGGGGAAACAAAAGGCATGACGTGGCACAGTGAGCTTGTTTTATTGGTGTGGGCTTGAGATGCATGACGATACACGGCGATCGAGTTGTGCCTTTCCATTCGTTACAAACGATCTCTAATATCTCTAAAAATTCGAAAAAGACCACCAGATGGTTTTCTATGGTCTTTTATTAACGAGCACTTTTTAATTTACATGAATAATTGATTTAACGAGCTTTTCAGAAATGATGTTGATTGGCATTCAATAAAGTGGATATAACGAGTCGAAATAGGATAAAACGACTCGTTAAATAGTTTCATGATAATAATACAAAAAGAATGGTAGAATAAAACCCCCGTCATTTGTAAACCAAAAACACAAACAATCATATTTGATAGAGCGCGATGATCTGCTCAGCACGAAGGTCGGGAACTCTTTTCACTTCTCTAAGAAACACCCAAATTAAGAATACAGTTTCTACGTGTAACATCCTTAAGTCTAAAGTGAAGTTGCCGCACATGATCTGATTAGTAAATGTATCGTTGTCACGGTATATCATTTTGACAATTTCAGTGATAATGGTCGACTCGGAGAGTTGGAGGAGTTTGGTTTTAATTGTCTCGATGAGTTGATGCTTGTTTGCAAAGTACAGCTCCATGAACTCCTCGCGCGTCTGTGCGACTTCTTTCACATGAGCAACATCCCCCATCGAGTTTCTCTCTTTTCGATATTCCAGTCTTTTTATTTGTACTTGATATCTTATAGTTTCTATTAATTTGATTGTATTATATTTATAGAATTTGTTTTCCAACGAAAAGTATCAAATTGGATTTACTTTGCCCACTTGCTTCTCCTTATCCCGCTTCTCAGAAGCTTTGGCTAACTCTAAAAGCTCGTCGTTGGCTAATTTCATCGTGCGCAATGTGCTCAAGAAAAACTCTTTCATTTGCTCGTTTGGTTTTATCTCGAGGTGCCCAGTCACATTTCGAATGGAGTAGATGATGTCACCTATCAAGAACGCCTTCGACGCATCAAACATCTTGGAGAGTTCTTCTTCTGAAGGGATGCTCCCTGTTGTGTCATCGATCTCGTCAACTTCACTGTAGATCTTATTGATTTGTCCCAAGAAGTACTCTATATTTTAATACGTTGACTCTCAAGAGCAAAACAAACTGATACAAGGAATTGAAGGTTTGTCAAAGAGAAGGGAATAGTCCGAATGCAGCACTTTTGCCTGTAATATGACAAGTTGGTCGAGAAGCTTAACTTCGTCTGGTGTCCTCTGACTGATTGAAGTCACCATAATCGAATTAGCAAAGTGGAGCAATCCCGTCACTACTGAATTGAATGAGTTGAAGTTTCGTATTTCAAGACACTTCAGCGCAAGTTGTAAAAAATTTTTGAAAGCTATTTCTCTTATCATCTCGTTTTGTTGGTTGATCAGAGCGAATGCGACCCAGTTGGATACTAATGCGGACCATTTTAAATACACTTTGATGTTTGACTCTTCACGTGATGTTGGGAATGTGTATAAGTAGAAGTCCTTTGGCTGGAGTTTAGAGAGAAACGTGTGTTCGCAGATCATCAACTGGCTTGCGATATCCAAAAAGTCTTTATTCAAAATATTAGCAGAGAACACTGTTGTTCTTGCCCACTGTGGGAGTGTCACACTTCGTCCATTAATTGTCAGTTTTGCGGGGTTGAATATCATTTGAAATGTTGGTTCTGTTTCGTTGCTTTTTGTGGTTGTAATCGTTTCTTTCACTTTGCTAAACACTACTTTTGTCTTCTCGTCGATGCGACTCTCAATACTCGAAAGAAGCTCTTTAAATAAATCCAACGACTTTGATGTGAACTCAGGACCACATTCCTCAACCCATGTCTGGAGTGCTAATAATAATACTTCGTTGTTTGGGTTATTGAGAAGACGTGCTGATAGACATTCAAATAGTTTGTCTTCTCTCCAGTCGATGGGGTAAAACACTAAAGAGCACCACATCACTCTTGAAAATGGCAACCTTTCAAGTGTTTCGATGACCGAAGATATCCCGTCGACTAAAAATATTTTCCGCGAGTCTGTTTGGACAAGAACGGTTTTGTTCTGTTTGTTCTCATCACTTTTGTATTCATTCAAAAAGCAGTTGTATGTGTCTAACTTCGCCTCTTGACTTATTTTCAAATCGCTCATCGTTTGCCTCAACTGTGTTAACGTCATTTTGCTTTTCAAGTTTGAAGACTCTTTCTGTAGTGTATTTTTACTATACTGAATAATATATGATACTATTTTATTTACTATTCCAAAGAATTGTGACTTTGACGTTTTCAATGCATTTATTTGTAAGTTCGCAATAATTAGTCGCTTTATTTTTGATTGAGAATAACTAAAAATACGCACTATTTTCTTGTGTTGTTTATTTTCAGAAAATTACAAAATGGTCTCCCGTTCTATTGCCCCATTGAGATTATAATATAACAACTCTCTCTCAATTATTTTTATTATTTTCATTTTTTTAATAGAGCTAATAATTAATAGTAAAATAAGTAGAGAGTAACTAGTAAATGAATTTTTAGAAATAATTATGGATTGTTCCAGAATTAAGAGGGGAATTGATTATTCAAATGTCGTGTGGGTCTGAACTTCACCACCAGAAGAAGTCCTCAGGGAGTCAGTCCCCGATATTGCGGACTTCACTCAGCGGAAACAACGGCTTTTTATCACCACGTCTCAACACATCTCGCAACTCGATGCGAAAAACATTGACAAGGATGTCATCGATGCTCTTCAAAGACAGAGACAGGCCAAAGTCACAACAACGAAACTCAACGTCCATCCTTACACGCTTCCCTGAAGAAGTGAATGAACTCGTTACGGAGATTGAACAAACACACATTGATTTAACCCCTGACATCGATTTGATGATGAAACCGGATTCCCTTGTTGACTGCACCAATAAAATGAATAGCTTTTGTTATAGTTTACTCAAGTTGATGCAGGTGGAGCAACTCTATTTGTTCGATGAAGTCTCAAATTTGGCGGCCGTCTTGTTACACAAAGGCGAAGTTATTAAATTTGCACGAATTCTCTGTAACGAGATGGAAAATTCCCACTTCAAATTACTCCAAGTGATGACTTATAAATTGGCAGCAATTCCAGACTCCAGGTTTTGTATTGAGTTCATCTATAGACTAGTTTCTTTGGACTCGAATGATAAGTACGTCCAACTCGCTGCGTTCTTCCATATACTAGTGCAAAACCCAGACGCTGTGTTCAAAGTTTGTTATAACTCTATTTTGTATATTACCTGATAGATTTATAGATGTAACTAGGTGTTGTTCGATACTTACTAAACAGTTGGATTCCGTTGAACCATTCTATGTCGAATCACCACCGTCAAGGGAGATAACAGCGGCGTCAGTGAATACAATGTTTGACTTGATCTTCGAGGACAGCTTCCACGAGCCGAATTATATGAGGAATTTCATCTATTTTATCCCATTCTTTCTGAAACACCGCGAGGCATACGAGATGATGATATCATACTATAATGCGTTTTGTGAAGACAACCCAACAGACCCAGAGATGCAAGCTTTTGTGAGTTGGAAATTTGTTCGAATTGAAAGACTTGTGTTGTCGTGGTTGGACATCATGAGTACAATGATCATGGAAGTGGAACCCGGCTTTTTTAAAGAGTTGGGAAAGACGCCATTACTCGAAAGCCAGAAGCTGACTGATATCTTCAAAAACAAGTTCAGAACGTTTCTCAAGATTGTGGACAAGAGCTCCACTGAAGAGGTTGAGGCAGTTCCATTCATGCAGACACAAGCAAGAGATATTCTGTTCAGCATTGTTTCAACTGAGTATGACGACCAACAACAAATCATGATTTTACTACAAAGCTTTACAATTGAGCCATACTACTCGATGGACTTGAAATCAAAAACTGTTAATCTGATCCAACTTCAACCCGAATTTTTGGCGGAACAGTTGATCCTCTTTGATTTGAAAGAGTTCCAAAAGGTTCACGCACATGATTTTTATTTGTCACGAAAGGACTCGACATTGAATGGATACACTCTTGCCTGCCAAAAGATTGAGTATTGGGCAATGAGAGCCATGGGGATATTGAGAAAACACAAACTGTGCGAATACTTCATCAAGGTCGCAAAGTTCTGTTTGGACAAGAAAGGGTATAACATGGCATACTTGCTGTATTCTACACTCACGCAGCAAACAATTAAACGACCCGACGTCTGGTCTGTTTGTTCTTCCTCACATTCTATTGTAGTTTTAATATAATAAAAGTATCTAAAAAGATAAGACTTAAGAGTAGAAGGTAAAGAAGTCAAGACTACAGACTTTCCAGAAGTTGGAGGTGGTTTTTGACATCAGGTCCAATTACAAGAACTACCGAACGACGTGCGATTTGGACAATGGGATACCAATCATGATGATATGGATGCACGATATAGTCAATATCAACTGCATTCCAACTAAATACGAATCAACGGACTTCTACAACTTTTCGAAATTGAGGGCTATAGGGAGCTCCGTTGCCGCACTCCGAAACGCTCAAAGGGTCGAGTTCCAGTTCAAGCCTCACCCGACTGTCATGAAGATATTAGACAATATCATCGTTCCAGAACTGAAATAATTGTATTCTTTTTTCATATTTTTGAGGTTCTTCTTTTATGTCTCTATGTAATGAAAAAAGTAAGTGTTTGAACAACAAGAAATAGCTGCGTTATAACAAATACTATTTTGTTTTAGTAACTTGTAAATCAAATGAAGTTTAGTACAAACTATTAACAATGGAATAATAATAATAATAATCAGTAAAAAGAAATTAATTCAAGTTATAATAGTTTATAACTATTATAACTTGAATATTTTAATATTGTTTTGGAAATAATAACACAACAAAAAGTATTGACAAAACCAACAAGTTATCTTTGGCTATTATGGAATATTGGTAAACTAAGCTTAATTGTTGGACACTTTTCTTGTGATAAAATCATGAAAAAGAACACTTTAAAAAATTTATACCATCATTTTAATAAATTAATTAATTCGAATAGTATTTCACAAATGGTAACAAAAAGAATCAAGTGAAATGCGTCAAAAACGAATAAAAAGTCGGGAAATTGTGCTAAAAAGACTGATCTTGACTTAGAATAAGGACCATTCTTAAAAGGATAAACATAACACAACTTCACTCCAACAGTCAGTGGAAATTCCACTGAAATTCGAAAATCACCGATGGACTTCGTTTACCCAGTAAATTTTGTGATGAAAAAAAGGTAAAATTCAATTAGGTACATTCTCGTATATGGCAGATGGTTCGGGAATCAATAAATATCATGTCCGATGGTATCTTGTATATGAGTAGACCATCACCTCTTAAGCGCTCAGCTTGCGTGTGTTTAGTGCCCGAATTCAATAATAAAAGCGAGTTCAATGCTACAGATGACAGCTTTATCCACAGCATCATGCTCAACAGCGACAGATTTCTCTTCACGTGCCAACTCGAGGAATACGAGGTCGACAACAAAACCACACAAAACGAACCAAGTGATATGTTTGCGCTCGAGGAATGATTAGGGAGTATGATGTGTATCTTGTAATTTCAACTGTTTTTATGCGATCAAGTTCTTAGTGAATAGCAATAACACATGTCATTTATTGGTTCAAAATTTTTACTAGTCTTTGGATTTTACACAAATCCCTCTTATTTGTTATATATTAAAAACTTCCATTTTATAACTATATTAAAATTAATAGTTTTAATTATTATATTATTGTAAGGTTAAATAATTAAACAATAAATTCTTATTATATTTTTCTAAATAAAAATTAATAAATTATTAATTATTCACAAAATTATTAACAAGGCTCTCATAAATATTATTTATCTATATTAACATTGATACTATGAATTATTATTACATATTGTATTATTAATTCGGCAAAATTAATAATATTTTTTTTAAAAAACATGAAATTTGAGTAGAGAAGATTCAAACTTAAATAAAAAACACAAGTATGAGTTTTGAATGTCCCTATAAAAGAGGTTGTTGTTGGTGAAAATAATCGGGAAAAAATAGATATACATCACAACTTGATTTATAGTATGAGGTTTAACTTGAAAACAGTAAATGTTCTCTGTCGATAGTGACATTGAGACATTAATCTCCATTTACCCAGACTCCACATCAAAACACGACGATGAAAAATCGCCAACGGTTGTTGTGACAATCAATTTACACAACGAGAGCGAGGAATGCTACAAAGTGTGGCGATCAACACTTACTCTCGAAATTCTTATTAACAAAGAATGTGTTTGTCTTCAAAACCCTTTTTTCTTATTGAAAAAGCAATTACTGACTCAAAGTATCCAAAAGCAAAGTCCGTCAAATTTCATGTGACACACTGTGGCGGGGTTGAAGCTTATAAATTGGACGAAAAATTGAACTCGTTCATTTTGGACGGAAATAGCGAACTCTCGCTCTTTCAAATATACGCAGACCTCCAAGAATTCATTGAAGACAATACACACCCTTTTGGTATTTGTTTGATTTGTCTCGAGAAAGTGAGTACTGGCGCAACACAACTCCCATGCTCTCATTACTTCCACACTGCTTGTATAGATAATATGAAGGAACTCAACGTTCCCCTGTTATGTCCAGCTTGTCGTTGTCGATTCATGAAAAACCCAATAACTCCAAAGAAAGATTCACGCGATAATTATTACTCAATGAATGACGATATTTACGACCCAATGTGCTCATCACTTTCAAAGTATTTTGCACTTATCAGGAATTCGGGAGTGAAACAAAGTCATCACGTCATCCTTTCGTACTTTAACGAATGTTGCCCAGTCCTCTGCAGCTTCAACGAGTTTGTTTAATTCCGTTTATTATGTCCAAGTCTCTACACCAACACAAATTGACATCAAGAAAAGAGGGAGGGTGGGTTATATCATTCAGAAATGAGCATCAACTCCAAAAAGCTATTAACACATTCAATGGAAAGGCAATTCTTCCAAACTTCCCGTGTATGGAAGTTACTCGGTATGTACCTTGTTGAAAAGGTATTTTGCGTGCACTGTTTTATAGTTTCTTGTGGCACAAATCAAAAAACATTTGAGTATGTTAATGGTTGTATCTTTTTAAATAATATATAGAACTATAATTATAATATTTATGTAATATTTTGATGCTAAAAATATATTCTCAAGCAATTGTAGTGTATATTTTTGTTGGGCAAATCACTAGAAAAACACAGAAAAAGATTGAAAGGTATTGGGGTTTTATTGAATAAATAACAAATTAAAAGTTTTATCAAGTTTGGTAAATGAAAAAATAAGAGGAAGGAAAGTGGAAGATAAATAGAAGAAGGATCAACTAAGAAAACGGGATTAAGCAACTCTTATGACTAAAAGAACAGTAAAACGTCAGTAAAGAAATCGAAAAAAAAAGAAGAACTCAAAAAGAAAGATGTCACGATTTGCAGACATACTTCACAACGACTTCATCGAGACAATCTCCGACATTGGCCTTGCAGAACACGACGATAACTTGGACGTCATGTGTTTCCTCGAGGAGGACAAACGAATAGAAATTATTACTATCACTTTGGAATCACTCAAGAATTCCTCAAACCTCACAGAAATTAACTGCAAAGGGAAAATGTTGTGGGTACTCTCGACGCTTGCTGATGTCTTTGTGTTTTCGAAGACTGAGAGGAGTATCTTACGAACTGCGGAGATGTATGAGTTTGTTAAATGTGTTAACCATTTGAATGTGTTTGACGTCTAGGAAGTGGCTCATGGAGAACGAAACACAACGGCCAAAGTACATGAGCGAGAATTATGTGGAGTGTGCAAAATTGATATTAGGACAACTCACATTACCTTTTGTGAATTGCAAAGTTGAAGAAAGGGAAGTTGAGAACCACGCAGACTACTGCTTGAAAGTGGTGGATATCTACTACAATGTGTTGGACACAAAGTATGGGGATGAATTGAACTCGTGGATATTGGACTGTTTGTATGGTGTTTTTGTGCCAGTATTTGGGTTCTTCAATGGCGACGATGACGCAGTGAAACGGAAAGACAATTCACAGTACAAGTATTACACATATTTGCTCAAGCGACTTGTTAATATCTTTCACTTGTGTTTACTCAAAAAGTCTGATGTGAAAAGTCAGATCTGGTACGTTTTCATGTCAAATGCGTTTGAATGGAACTCCGACGCGGAGGTTGTTGAACAGTGGGTAGCAACAACACTCTCATTACAACAAGCGTATATGGAACACATCCTTCATCCCAAAAGTTCCAAACCCGTTGTGAAATTCATGAAGAACTGTGGAATGGAAGTGTCAATTGAAATCGAAGAAAATACGTTACAGACGATGTGGCTCTCATTCATTAAAATTAGCAATGTAGACTATTCTAAAATGGGTTTCACATGTGCTGAAATATTCCAAGAAGGGATTTCACTGTTAATGCATGACCTCTCGTGTTATTTGAACGACAAAGAATTGACCGTGCAACCACCAGACGGAAATGTCATTTTGGACTTGTACGGAGATGCCGCTACCCTCCCGATATTTATGTTATCTGACAAAGACGAATTCATTGAAGCAGTCAAAATTTCTATTGGGAACATCTGTTCTTTCTTCGCAGAAACACTCCCAACTACTGAGTTTGAACCGAAGTATATCAAACTCCTCATTAACATTATTCAAACGGCACTCTCATCACACAGCTTCTTTGTAGTTAGATCATGCTTGGACAACATTCAAAACGTGTTGAACTATCCGCTGAGTGGACTGACTTTATCATTGGAATCCATTTACTCTGCAATCGACTCGATTCTTGAAAACGCAAAGACTGAAACTAATATTAAGAAATTGATGAGTGCTTGGGTGTACAGAGGTTTCATCCGAACACTGAACAATTCTTTGGTCCACTATAACGTGTTCACCAATCTCAGAAAAACAAACAAAGAAATAAGAAATGTCGAGCCACTGTTATGCACTTTATTGTTGAAGCTGTTTAAAACTGATCTGGTCGACAATGAAAATGTGACAACATTGTGCTCCCTTATTACGACGTTTTTAGTCTCCTTCTTGCCAAAAACCCTTCCCACACAACCAATTGTTAACGATCCGAATTCCCCCGTTGTGGCTTCTGTCTCACACTTGGCATGGAAAATTTCCGAGTGCGTCAGAGGATTCTCGAAAGATATTCCCGTCACCAAATTACAGCCATGTTTTGGGATATTTTACACCATTTCCAAGTTTAAGAAGTTTGTTCCCGATACGGAAATATCGTTTGGAGAGGATGTTATACAGCTTCTTATCTCAGCATTCAAGAAACATATCATCCAAGATGGATCGGAAAACATTCCCGAATCATTTGTGAATTTGTTATTGTACACCCTCAACGAATACATCTCAGACTCCAAAGAATTACAACAATATTACTTAAAACAAGTCTTCGAGTCGTTGGCATCTGTTGTGAACTCATACCCCAAATCTCTTCAAATCTTTCAACAAGTCCAACTGCTTACAAGCAGATTCTCTTCGACACAAATTCTCTCGCCAACACGCGAAGATGTTGTTGCTATTCTAAAATGCACGGAGAGAAAGTTTGTGAATCAGTGGCAAACCCCAAAAGACCACATCAGAATCATCGGTAAGAATGGAACCATATATTCATTTGTTGATTTACCTCAAATAGATAAGACACAACTGCGATGCCAAATCATCAAAAGATCTCCGACTGGGAAATTCTCGTTTGAAAGTTCCATTGATTATGTGGAGACGAATGGACAGACCGTCTACTGTGCAAAAGAAGAAGTCAAATCAAATTTCAAAGGAGATAAAGTTGTCGATGGGATACCACTCTTTTGCACATACTCGGAATTGATTTCGAAGAAACCAAAAGTTGCTCCAAACAATGTTCAATGTTTTAAGTCGCTCATCAATATGAACTTGCCTGGTGAAGAGAATAGTGTATTCTCACACAATTTGGGCTCGAGACTCTATCATGCCTGTGTCTTTGGTATTGACAGAGACGAAGTGTCTTTGAATGTGTCCGAGGAGTTGTTCGATGACTTGGAAAAACTTGACAAGTTGCGAGCAACACTCCACGCGCATGCACTCATCGACTTCCCTCCAGCCGTCAAAATGAGTCAGTTCTTTACTTCTTTTGTGATGGGGATTGGCGATTATTACGAACCAAATTCGTTGATTGATACTGATGTGAAGAGGTTTATATCGATTCAGACGTATGAGGGAAACATTATATGTGAGTGTCCCGAATTGTTCAAGACGCAAAAAGGTGAGAAATATGATTTGCAAGTCATTTGGAATTGTACACAGACGTATACCCCCACAGTGTTGTCGAAGAATGTCATCATAATAACGCCAGTCTCATGTAACACATTCAGATTGGTCTCAAAGGAAAGCAACACAATAATCAACGATTGTTACGTCTCCGGTGATTCAATGAAAAGAGTCTTCTCATCTTTTGCATTCAAGTTGTTTGCGCAAGACTTTAATATGTTCATTGGACCGATGGCAGAGAGAAGGAAGTTAATAGATGAAATCATTGAGAAGCATAGATATAAGAATGGAGGAAGAGGGTTGGCTATATTCACACAACCTGTTGCACAAGCGATTGACAAATGTATTGTGGTCGACGAGTTCGGGTGGGAGCCTGCAAAGACTGTGGTTGCACCATTGCGACAAACGGCATCAACAAACAAAATTACACTGACACCACAAGTTGCGATGCTTGTCGAGTCGATTAAAAAGAAGCCAAGTCCAAATTGCCCATATTTTCACTGCGAAGCAGAAGACGTCCAAACAGAGAAGATGCAATTCCAGATGGCACAGTCGCTGCGGTGTTGTGAAAAAGAGGATCCTTTCTATTACAGGAGATCAAAGACACTATATTCTCTTCGGACCCAGACAAAACTTGCAAAACACAGTCTCCGCGTTCGCAAAATCACACGAAACACACAGCACCCAAAGTAGCGGCTTTCAT